GTATTTCACTTTTACGTTCCCTAAATGTGGAGCAGACCGATTGTGTACCAATTCCGTATTCGAAGTATTCGTACAGTTGATGAGCTATATTACCATGGAATTGTACTTGATGTGAGATGATGTAAATTGAACTACATGTACATATGAAGTGGACGCATAAACAAACTCGAACTACAGAGCTATCAATATGAACATTTTCAGTGGATTACCTTGTCGAAAATGCCAGCCATGTATGAATGTTGCCGGATTCCATATCGTTCTGTGGCATAGAATGTCCTTTGTAATAATGCAAATCTCGACAATTTGTTGGTGCAAGTTGCAATAGTTACCATTGTGGTCCCCATCTGGGAGGCAGAGCGATTTATACTCTCGGTAGAATAGCGCACGGGTAACAGTTATCAGTTACCTTATTATTGTGCACTATACCTCATGCAGCACCATAAACGCTGACTGAAGATGCATGCATGTGCGTTGAATGTTTATTCATCTTTTGGTCAAGAAGAGATTTTATATCCCCAGTTTATAATGGTGTGCACTAATCCATTGATTTCTGGTTAAACAGGCACTTTATCATGCATGAGAAAAGGCAAAATATATGAATCGGTTGTTGACTTGGTTTATTGTATTTCTGTGTATCCATTACGTTACTCGTGATATCAACCTTTGGTTGGTGGGGAATAGACTCATTGTGGGGAATGATTTACATGCCGCTGTGAACAAAGAGGAATTTGTGCTTAATTAAATTGCATCCCATCACTTATACTATGCATGTCCTACTTATGTGTGATTGTTTAGGAGGGAAAAGAAACCCTCAGGATGCATTGTTCGTGTGCCAGATATAAGCCAAGGGTTTGAATCTGAGATGATGTATGAGTAAGAGATGTATACCACTATTGTAACGAACTTCCGTGTTGTTCAAATTTTCTATATCATTTGCGGTCGTTGGGATCCGATTTATTGGCATACCTCCATACATAAAAAAGAGTTGGTACATTGCACGTCATAGCAGTTAAATCACTATCCAAATACTCATGATGCCAAGTGTTCGCATAGGGCTTAGTGTTATCCAGCCTGATCAGTGGCACTTTCTACGAGTTAAAAAAGTCGTTCGGTTTGTTCAAAGTAGTCTGATCAGATTCACAGCATTTAAGACCTCATTAAGCTTCCAAATAGCTTTAAGGTGGACACGCGTAGATTATTTCGAGATTTGGTGCATCAGTGACAACGAAAATGACATCCGGTGCTCTGCCCTATTTTGATCTGTATTATTAGTTCCTGTTTAGTACTCATTCAAGTGAACGATTGACTCGCACTTGCATGTATTTGTGACGGTTGCAATCAAGGACCAGGAAACGGTCACCAATACACATGCAGTATATTCAGAAAATAAGTTTTCAAGGTAATGTTGTTGCCAAGCGCACACATATGAAACCTTTGAAAATGAGAAGTTTTGTATGTGTTTTTGTAGAGCTGTTTTGGCTGTTTCTAGAGTAAGCTGATCTAGTTCACTGGATTCGTTTCACTTCCCGGGTGGACCAAATACAACCTTACAAATAAATGGGTACAAATTACATACAGCACAATTATGTATTTTACAATCGTATTGGTACAGCATTGATATTGAAGAGAGTATACATTGAATGTGCGTGGTAACTTCATATTCTCAAGGGCGGTGGGGTAGCCTAATGGTTAAAGCGTCCGCTCGTCACGCTGCAGACCGGGTTCAATTCTCCACATGGGTACACGTGTGAAGCTCATTTCTGGTGTCCTCCGCTGTGATATTGCTGGAATGTTGCTAAAAGTGGAGTAAAGTCATAGTCACTCATATTCACAAGCGTACCTGCACAGTTTCGTAAAAATGCATGTCGCGGTCATTTACTTGATTGGCCAATGATTCATACGTGTGTTGATTTCTGCTATCTACATTCTCATAATGTCTATTCGCATGTGTATCCTGGTAATCACTAGTAGATCGACATGCTACTTCATCGTAGGGGATGTCCTCACTCTGTCCTGTACCTCTCAAGAACAACTCTAATGCAGGGCCTTTTCCCAGTGATCTCTGTGTCTTTGCTGGCTGAACAACCTTGCTGCAATGTCAGATACAAATATGTGAAGGATAAAATGAGTGAGTGAGTGAGTTAAAATTTAACGTCACATCGGCAATATTGAGGCCATATCGTGATGAGGAGTTGCATAATAATAAATAAAGTCGTAATAAATAAAGTCAAATTATAAAATCCTGTCAACGAAGGACGGTAAAATAACTAGAGGATCACAGATCCTAAAACATATATGAAAAACTGAAAACGTTTAACTATATAATACAAGACAATGTAAAAACAGGCTATAGATTGCCAACAACGGAAGGCAGATCACCATACTAGGGACGTGAAGGACAAAAGGCAGCGGCAGTTTCGCAAAGCTGATTAATATTTGCTGAAACTAAATTCCGAATTTTGTTCATGCATTTTCTGTTCATGGAATTTTAAATATTTTAAGTGCTACTACATGACATCGATTGATCATTTACTGTTTGCTATTTCATCTCTCAAGAAGCGACTTGGAACGGGGAGCGTGTATTGAGAACTGTTGTTCCAAAACATGGCATGGTACTCACACATATATAACAAGGATGATGATGACACAAAGCAGGAGAGCCATGGTCACCCCAAAGGCGATCATCCATGGTGAGACATCATCAAGTGCTATAAGAAATGAAGAAGTGTAAACTGCAATCACGTTTTTGATCAATTAAAGATTGTTGTTGCAATAAGTATTTTTTTCAAATACTGATGCGATATCAACATATACGTCAGTAACATGCTGTTACTGCGACGTTGATTTCACTTCAATCATTAACACCAGAGTAATATAAAGAGTAAAATATTGCTTGGTCAAGCAAATGTTCCACTACATCATTTCATAAAGGAATGACTGTGACATTTCCAGAATCATAAGATTGATCTGCTAATAATAGTTAATACAGCATGCGATTCCCATTATACGTCATGTTTAAATCATTAACAAACATGGATGACACCAAGGGTTCTCTAAACGTTGAGCGAATCCCGTCACATAGGCGCCTTCGGGCACATGCAATGCCAAGTCAATTTTCATCCCGACTACAATAAAATAAGTTTATTCTTTATATTCACAGGAAGTATTCGAAGTTCAATAATGTAAAATCCTGGATTGTATGCGAGCTAAATCTAACTAATTGGCAACAGAATGCAAGACAATGTGGGTGCTCCGAGTTAATTCTTAGTATTATGTTCGTAAAAGCACAGTCTAAAATACGGTGAGATGCCTCAAACTGTTCATTTTCGCAATTCAATTATTACAATATGATTTTTACTCGTTCATTTAAACTGCAAAGGTTTAACTTGTCGATTTCACAAAAACAAAAACGGGGGGTATGTGATTATGCACACATAAAGATTATCCACAAAAGGAAACTATATATTGCAACTTCGACAGAGATGCCTTAAACTGTTCATTTTCGCAATCAAATTATTATAATATGACCTTTTACTCGTTCATTTAAACTGCAAACCTTTTATTTGTCGATTTGATTATGCACACATAAAGACTATCCACAAAAGGGAACTATATAACTACCTGTGTACACAACTTCAAATGTAAACACAGTGAGTAGTGTGGAGCACATGAATGTCAAAAAACCATTTGGGAAGCCTAAGTGTTTGACGTTTGTTCTTTGAAACAGTCAAACGACAAACGCCGAGGTGCGAGGAGGAATATCTCAACGTCCGGTTCCACTGCCACCGAACCACCATGTCAGCACTACGTCAACAGAACAACAATGAAGCTGCCGATCGGAGGACGTCCACGCAGCACAATGCCAAGATAGGACAGATACGGGGTAACCATTTTAGCACCATTACTGTGTCATGGAGAGGAATTGCTTTGGGCCTCTTTACGTGATGGTTTGGGATGGGATAATTGCACATGAGAGACCCGATTTAATTGATGGTCATGGTTAATTTCACAGATGTGGGCTACAGAAATCAGATTCTCGGACCAGTGGCAATTCCGTTTCAGGAACGTCATGGACCAGAATTGACATTCTAGCATAATGATGCCCATCCTCACACGGCTAGGATTTTCTTCAACAGCTGAATTCGGAATCCTAACGTCAGTGTCAGTGACATTAAGCAGTTTTTCTGCCTTCATCTAAGATTTAAATATCACCAATAAATTAAAGTTCGCATGGAAACTTTCATTGTTGTTATTACAATGCACAGTCTCTTTTTGTGGCTAGTATATATTAATATTCATATAATCTTCATTTATCTCAGTGTATTGTAAATATATACTGAAATCCATTAGAAATGAATCGCGGTATTATTGATCACGGAATATGCCAAACCAAAATTTTGAAAGCAAACTGTGCTTGAAGTAATCTGACTGTGTCAGATAAATGTGATGCACACATAGAACCACGTGTATCCCTGTGTAATCACGTGACTACTATTTGCCGAAAATCACTATTTTACCTGCAGAGCGCGTGGAAAAAACATATAGAAACATGCATGTCATGCCGTGGCAGCCTCCGAAACTAGCACTGATGTGTGGGACGAAATAGGTAAAAGAACTCAACCTAATAACGTCTATGAGTTGAACTCGCTTTGCAAAGAATATGGCGTCAGATACGGCAAGTTTTCATGAGGAGGGTAAAATTATTGATGAGACGAAGCTCGACGCAAATAGTGGGCATACCCGCAACTGACATTGACTGTGTGAAAGTTTTGAACGAGTGTGAAATTTCAAATGGACCACTGTCATTGTTATGGTCAATTTATGGCTGCACTAAATCATGAATGACTGCTTTTCCTTGCGTTGACAACTTTAGTGTTAGAAGGGACGAGCTCTTTTCTTCATTTATCAGGGAAATAAAAAGTTGTATTCCGGTGATGAGTTTCTAATGGATTTCAATATATATGTAACATCAATAGTACTTCATGTGAATTTCAACATACGTTTTGTCTTGAAGTTACCGAAAGGCTCAGTGGATGTGTATCCAGCACTGGTACACGACACAGCAACAACCCTGAAATGCAAATTGTCGAATATTGGATTGTCAAAGTCAAAACAGGTCTATCTGGCGAAGACGTATGAGTCAGACGGGTGATCTAATATCGAACAATAGTGGTCAAATAACCAGTTCGTTTCCATTAATTCATCCTTTTAAAAGTAGTAATTAAGGTGTACATTGAACCAGCGTTTCATAAAGAGATCTATACAGAGTGAGGGGAAACTGACAGAGTGACAGGAAGGCCTTCTACTTTACAATCGTCCGTTTTCCCTTCATGTCGAGCAATGTCAACAGCGCCAGTCTTTGGTGTGTACATTTCAGACCTATTAGGGTACAATCAAGAATGCTCTTTCTACGCGATCAAAGTTGCGAAGCATTCTCTTGGCAGACGCTATTCCACATTCCTATGACAGTTTGTCACATATTGTTTTAAGAAATATTGTAAAAACATATACAGATTTGTTGTCTCTTTGTTTTCCTGGCCGGGAGCATGATGCTTTCATAATTTTCAAAGGATGAGAATAACAAAGAATGAAGCAAGATTCTTTACAACCTTCATTTTAATACAACGTGTGATAAAACAATTTATGATAAAGAGACCAAGCGTATGGTCTATCACACCGAACACTCGGTTTCCATTCCCTAGGTACATTGTGTGAAAGGTATTTTTAGTAGCATCGTAATAATATTACTGCAAAAATAGAAGATCCCTTGAGCAGTTCTCAATCCATCTGGAATTGGATGCTGCATACGTCAGTAAGCTTTAAACACAACGCTCAGAACACGCGGCTGGTCATGTCGCTTGTTTGGCATCATGGGAAGAAAGAAACGAAGCTTACATATATGCAGTGTCTGGTTCCAGGGGCCCATTACAGAGATGGTCTTTTTCACTGTCGCAGTTTTCATCCACACCAACCGAGTAAGAAGTAAGACTCTCCCCTGAAGTCAGAAATCGACGCGTTTAGAGCAACATGAAGTTAGAAACGGATTGGGGATTGGGGATTGGAATCCCGAATCTGAATATTTTTTTGCACATTCAGGATTCGAATCCCGAATCAGAATTTTTTTTTCAGATTCGGGATTCGAATCCCAAATCTGATTTTTGTTCATATTCGGGTTTTATCTTTTGCACATACGGCGTCCTTATAACTATACTCTTTGCACCTTAATCTTATCTATCCTCGATGTTGCCGTGCACCCTGGAGATAGTTAACGGTCCTGAAGCACTTCCCTGATTGCAGGCATCAACCCTCGATGACCATCAAAGAAATGCAAACAAGGTCAATATTCATTATTCGATCCCCCTTCTTATGTACTAGGTGCTCGTTGTATACCTGGGTAACTTATAAATATAAACAACCAAACTACAGTTTTCAATATTTGAACCTCAAATCTGAGTTTTCTCAACATTCGGGGTTCGGGATTTGAATCCCGAATCTGAATATTTTTTCCACATTCGGGATTCGAATCCCGAGTCTTAATTTTTTCAGATTTGGTATTTTCGCACATTCGACACTCGGCATTCGGCATTCGGCATTCGTATTTGGTATTTGAACTCTTATTATGCATTTCATTAAAACATTTGGTGAGCGAGTGAATGAGTTTACTTTTACACCGCACTCAGCAAAATGCCAGTAGTATGGCGGCGGTCTGTAAATAATCGAGTCTGGACCAGACAATCCAGTGATCAACAACATGAGCATCGATCTTCGCAGTGGGGAACCGATAACATGTGTCAACCAAGCCAACGAGCCTGACCACCCGATCCCGTTAGTTGCCTCTTACGACAAGCATGGGTTACTGAAGGTCAATTCTAACCCGGACCTTCACGGGTATTAACACATTTGGAATTCGGAACTTCAGCGTCCTTGTAACTATACTCTTTGCACCTTCATCTTTCAAACCTATCTGTCTCCCACGTTGTCGTGCAGCCTCGTAGATAGTCGAACGGTCCCGAAGCTCTTCCCTGCTTGTATTGGTGTATGCATGAGCTCTCGTTAGACCGAAGAAAGACCATCAAAGTCAATAATTTGAAACACACCTTTATTGAGGGCAATACTGCATAAATAGCTTTCTGAGATCAAAGGGGAATTAAGCAAGGTTTGTTTGTTTTGTAATTCTGGTAATTGTATTAAACATTCGTCCTTACTGATTATGGAATGTAATTGTAAGACGTTTATCCATTCTACAAGGCCAACTATTGGCTTTGCTGTATATAACAACACCCGCACCTCAGAAAGGTTCATATCCAAAATGGTGTCTGAGAGAGAGCTTCAGACGTCACCTGTATGAATTTATAACACCAACCATGGAGTATTGATTCCAAGACATGAATATCAAAAGACCACAAGTGAATTGCTGGTGGTAGAGACAATATGCTGAAAGAAGTTTCCAATTTCGTGCACAAGTCGATTTGATTGACATGCAATCCATGTGACAAGGTCAATTCAAATGGATTATGCATTATCAGCACCATCTCACTAAGTTATGTGTGTTGAGACCGTTGACCCCCAAGAAGTAGCGTATCAGTTGGTTGACATCTTGCAGAGTGACAATGGTTCAGAATTTACTGCTGCTGTCATTGAGGAGGTGTCACAGATGTGGCCTAGCACCAAGATAATACATGGTAAACCACGTCACCCCCAATCCTAAGGTTCCGTTGAGGCTGCCAACTGTGATGTGAAGGACATGTTAACAGCCTGGATGTCTGACAACAATACCACTGCTTGGACCATGGGACACAAATTTGTTCAGTTCCAGCTACCACAGCGGAATCAAGCAAACACGATTTGCTGCCTGTACTGGATCAGATGCACCAACTGGAATAAATTCCTCCAAGCTCCCAGATGAGGTGATTGCAACACTGGAGACGGAAGAAGATCTTATCAATGCCATAATCGCCATGACACCTCCTTCAGACCAGCCAGCACCAGATCCGCCACCAGTTACTGTAACTGTTCCAGGTCCCTTAGCAGAAGCAGCCATGCCAGATCCAGACCCACCTGTTGTAGCAGATATGCCAGTACCAGATCCACCTGCTGAAGCAGCCGTTATAGATCCACCAGATGTAGCCGCCGTTCCAGATCCGCCATGAGAACTCCTTGTTGCAAAGAGACGTCAGCAGATCAGTATCCAGAGGAAGAGGGCATTAGACTATCAGCCGAGAGAATGGAGACAAGAAGTAAAATTGTTCTGTCAGAAGTTCAATCCCATCCGTAGACAGAGGTAGAGCGCAACAGTGCAGTGTTAAGGCGTCATCCTATCACGCTGAAGGCCCGGGTTCGATTCCCGGTGGAGGCACCTATGTTCGGGTCCCGAGGTAGGCACAGTTGCGTAGTATCCTTGGACATGATACTTAGATCCACATTGTCCCACTTCACCCAGCTGTAAAATGGGTACCCGTGAGGGTGTGCTGGCAATGTGAATGTTTAGTTCATTGCGCCTAACTGGCAGCATAGCTGTATGATCCCCAGGGAGTTGAAAGAGTATCGGAAAATACGATAGTGTCCTATGACCGGGGAAAGTAATGTACGTAGTGCCGTGAGCAGGCAATGTACCTGGATATGAGCGCCATATAAGCGGACTATTACTATTACTATTAGAGCTGATCCCATTAATGACAGTGGTATATACACAACTGCTGTCAAAGCTCGTGTTTTATCTGGAAAATATTCTCGTAATTTCAATTTGATGTGTGCGCCACAGCTCCGCAAATAATCTTAGAGGATATGCCTACTGAAAAACTGGTCTCCTTACGCTAAGCAGTCCAGTTTGGGTCAGCCTGTGGTGGACATGGTTTTGTTAAGTGCAATTGTGCTGTCCAGAGTCAAGAGGTGGCAGACAAATAGATGCAAAATGGTACAAGGCTGGTGTAAAATGTAATTCAAGGTGCCACTCATCACTGTCTTGTCAAAATAAAAACTGAATTGATGTTCTCCAAACATGTTCATCATACTTTTCCTTATGCACATCATGTACATCTATTATGTTGAATAAAGATATCATTGTAGCAAAGAAACGTCTCTATCCTGCTTAATACAAAAGTCTAATTTTTACATCTTTTTGGGAGAAATATACCTCAAACTACACAAGTAGTGATTTCAGGGAATATGTTTAAAATTCTAGTACACTTTTCAGTGATTATGTATAATCCTTGCAAAGTTCAGTGTTTATGTATACTAAGCAACAAAAGAAACGTCAGTTTGGAATTTTCCTTCGCAGAAACGGATAACTCATTTAATGTTTTGTTTGTATATTTTGGACAACATCTCCAACTTTACCTGGGCAAAGACATTCCTTCCCAAACTCAGAATGGAACCCAGGAAATGGTCTCAAAAACGCAACATGATCTCGGAGATGGTACGGTGTTCTCGGTGTTTTTCATGCAACTGCAACTGAAACATTCACATTACAACGTCAGCAGGGTGCCGCGACTCACGACAGCTCAGAGGAACCAGGCGCTAGGAAGACTTGAAGCTGGCCACACTGGACATGCCGTTGCCAAACACTTCCAGGTCAACGTTCGGACCATTTACAGGCTGCAGCAACGTTTCCGGGCCATCAACAGCACAAATGATCGCCCCGTACTGGCAGACCAAGGGTGACCACAAGACGACAAGACCGCCATGTTGTGCTACAAAATGTACAGAATCCATTCATGCAGGCATCCGAAACAGCACGCCAGACAGGGGGAACACACGGAAGACCAATCAGTACTGATACGCCGACATCTTAACAGCGCCAACCTCAATTGCCGTAGACCTTACCGTGGATCTATCCTCACCCGTCATCGGCGTGAACGTCTACGGTTTGCCCAACAACACCAACACTGGCGATACAGGCAATTGAGAACTGTTCTGTTCACAGATGAGAGTCGGTACTGCGTATCAATTGCATATGGAAGAACAAGAATATGGCGACGACGTGGCCAGCGTTACTCAGACCAATGTGTTATGGAAAGAGACTCATGGGGAGGTGCAAGCATCATGGTATGGGGTGGAATAGGCCTGAACCAGAGAGTGGGTCCAGTGGTGTTCCAGAACCTTGGTCCAGGGAGAGGAGACGGCATAACAGCGGTGCGCTTCATCGACCAAGCGCTCAGACCCCACGTCATACCACACCGTCACCGGAACAACATTTTCCAGCATAATGACGCCCTGGCCCATGCTGCCAGAGCTACACGGGACTTCTTACAGCAGAACGATGTCAACATTATGCAGTGACCAGCCCTTAGTCCTGATTTAAACCCAATTGAACATCCTTGGGATGGACTGACTGACCGAGCTTGGTTTTACGCCGCTTTTAGCAATATTCGAGCAACATCACGTCGGGGGACACCAGAAATGGGCTTCACACAATGTGCCCACGTGGGGAATCGAACCCGGGTTTTCGGCGTGACAAGCCAACGCTTTAACCACTAGGCTACCCCACCGCCTCTCTTTGGGATGGAATTCAGAGGAGACTGAATAATGCCATACCAAGGCCGAACACAGCCGAATTATTGCGCCAGGCCTTTCTCAGAGTGTGGTTCCAGGTGCCAATGGCCTTCATCGATCGATTGGTGCACTCCATGCATAGACGCTGTGCTGCAGTTATTGCCGTTCGTGGTGGTCACACTAGATACTGAAGTCAAGGGTCTGAATGGACTGCAAACGTTGACGTAATGTCTTGGCATTGTGCTGAGTTATTCATCGATGTGTCAAGATATTGTACACAAAAAAAGTTTTTAATACGCTTATTATGTCTATTTCTGTAATGATCTGATTACAGAGCCTATCTAATTTTGAATTCGTACTGACATATTTTTGCTGCTGAGTATGTAATCACTGAGTGAAAGAGTCAGACATTATACATAATCACTGAAAATTTCAGGTATTATATATAATCCCTGGTATTACACATTCACTGTAACATATATATGTTACAGGAAATATTTATAAACAGTAAATATGTATAAATCCTGATAATTTCAGTAATTATGTATAATGTCTGATAATCCCTGGTATTACACATTCACTGTAACATATATATGTTACAGGAAATATGTATAAACAGTAAATATGTATACATCCTGATAATTTCAGTAATTATGTATAATGTCTGTAATTATACATAATTCCTGACATTGAAGATACAACATTATACAAATTTGCTGAAATCATTTGAATAACTGAAACATTACTTTTAAAGTCAGTCAGGTTTTCATAGATATGTCTTCATTTTTAGGAACAAGGTACAGCACGTTGATTCTCAAGAATTTGTATTTCATTGTGTTCATGAATTTTTATTTGAACTTTCTAAACTACTCGAAAGCTCACAGTTAGTTGGGACTGATGTTTGGAAACTGAATATTTGGTTGTGGCAAAATTACTACCGTTAAGAATAATCACGGACTTTGCGGAGACGTTGACCATATTTACGCCCTTTATAACATGGCTGACTTATCCCAAATCGGTTGTTTCCATTAATGTATTTTCACATTTCAGTGATATGTGATTGTTCACAGATTGACATTCATATTATTAGAATAAAACATCTCTTAAAAATGAAATTTCTATAAAAAATTCGGATTCGGGATTCGAATCCGATAATATCCCTAGTATGGTTGTTCAGTTGTTGGCGAACTCTAGCCTGTTTATATCTTGTATTGTCCAAATAGTGCCACCAGTTTTAACTTTCCACACTAGTTTTAGTTCTTATTGTGATATTCTAGTTGTTTTACTGTCCTTTGACGACAGGTTTATATAATATACACGTTTCATTTCAATGTCAAATATGTTCTCGTCACAATATCGCCGATGTGACGTTAAATCTTACCTCTCTCATTCACTCGAATCCGATAATAGTGATAATAATGAATATTGACATTGTTCGTCTTTCTTCGATCGCCATCGAGGGTTGACCCCTGCAAGCAGGAAAGAGCTTCAGGACCGTTCACTATTTTCGAGGGTGCACGGCAACGTCGAGGACAGAAACGATGATAGATGAAGGTGCAAAGAGTATAGTTACAAGTGAGTGAGTGAGTGAGTTTGGTTTTACGCCGCTTGTAGCAATAATAGAGCAATATCAAGGAGGGGGGACACCAGAAATGGGCTTCACACATTGTACCCATGTGGGGAATCGAACCCGGGACTTCAGCGTGACGAGCAAACGTATTAACCACTAGGCTACCCCACCTCCCCGAAGGTACAAGGACACTGAAGTTCCGAATTCCAAATGTGGGAAAGAAATGCAAAATAAGAGTTATACTGAATACTGAATGCCGAATGCCGAGTACCGAATGGGCTAAAGAAAAATACCGATAATAGAAAAGCATTCAGATTTGGGATTCGAATCAAAAACAAATATTCAGATTCAGGATTCAAATCCCAAACCCCGAATGTTAAAAAAACTCAGATTTGAGGTTCAAATATCGAAACTGTAGTTTGGTTGTTTATGTTTTTTAAGTAACCCACGTATACAACGAACACCTAGTACATTAGAAGGATGATGAAATAATGAATATGGACCTTGTTCGTCTTTGCTCGGCCGTGATCGAGGGTTGACGCCTGCAAGCAGAGAAGAGCTTCTGGACCGTTGACTATTTGCACGGCAGCGTCGAGGATAGATATGTTTGAAAGATGAAGGTGCAAAGAGTATAGTTACAAGGACGCTGAAGTTCCGAATTCCAAATGTGTTAATACCCGTGAAGGTCCGGGTTAGAGTTGGCCTTCAGTAACCCATGCTTGTCGTAAGAGGCAACTAACGGGATCGGGTGGTCAGACTCGCTGGCTTGGTTGACACATGTTATCGGTTCCCCATTGCGCAGATCGATGCTCATGCTGTTGATCACTGGGTTGTCTGGTCCAGACTCGATTATTTACAGACCGCCGCTATACAGCTGGCATACTCATATACTGAGTGCGGTGTGAAAGTAAACTCACTCACTCGCTCATCAAATGTTTTAATGAAATGCATAATAAGAGTTCAAATACCAAATACGAAAGCCGAATGCCGAGTGTCGAATGTGCAAAAAAAAAAAAAAACATGAAAAAAATTCAGATTCGGGATTCGAATCCCGAATATGAAAAAAAAATTCAGATTCGGGGATTCAAACCCGAATGTGAGAAAAATATTCAGATTTGGGATCTGAATCCCCGAATGTGAAAAAAGAATTCAGATTCGGGATTCGAATCCCCAATCCGTTTCTAACTTCATGTTCCCCGCGCTTAGTATGTTACTGCTACTTCAATTTTCATACTCATCATTTGTAAATATGCCTGAGGGATGATATCGTGTAAGTTAATGTTACCTGGAGAAGCACTCCTCCTTATCCTAGCTGCCATCAGGTAGTGTTGTGGAGTTGGGCGGTAAGAACCCTTATACCCACTGTTCTTCCATATATACCAGTTCTTCCATGTGTCCCAGTCAGTCACATTTTCAGGGTCCGTTGGTGGTGTTTCTATATGCACATAAGGAGTTTCAGTTACTTTAACTATAGGCATGCATGAATTCGTAATACTACACCTTCCTGCAAAATAGAGTGCGTGAGTGAGTGAGTATGGTTTTACGCCGCTTTTAGCAATATTCCAGCAATATTACGGCGGGGGACCCCAGAAATTGCAAAATAGAACAAAATAAATATATACCAGAAAAACAGCAAATTATATATAAATCTCTATTTCTATGATCTTGTGACAATTTCAGGTAATATATAACGTCAGTGCGAAACTACACCCAGACTTATCTAGCCTCAGAAACAAATATCATTTGGTGTAAAGGCAAATATAGATGTAAATATAGATGTGAAAATGATGTGAATGGATGATTGAAAATCAGTGACGACATCAGGTGTTGGCGAAAAGGGTAGAAAGAATCCACCGTTCTTTATGTCATTCATGCAACACCGCGCCAATACCTATTCTTGTCTTTCTAAACGTGGATTCAGAAATACGCACGCTCAGGCACAACACAACTACGTACACACACCCTATACTGAGGTTATGCTATTTCACACTGGATGTCATAATATAGAAGCGGATCAGCTTGTACACAAGAATCACTCCAAGACATGAGTCAAACAGATCTTTTCGCTTACCACTCGTCTTCATAACAAGAATTCCTGCTTCAACTACTTTCCCATTTGTACCGTCGAGAAGCGTCTTTGAATCAAAAGATATCACAAAGGATGTATCGGTGGCAGCGTCTGTGCTTTGTGCTGCTGTGCTGATGAATATTTCCGTTGAATCTTTTTTCAGGGGTTCTGTGAACGAAAAAGCTCAAAAATAATAATCCGGTAGGCATTGAAAATGATTATCATATCAATTCATTTTTTCATATTATGTAGTTTTATTTTCTGTTATATTAACACGGAAGGTATTGCATTCAGTACGATGCATCCAGGTAATATGTTACTTCATTTTCAGGCTGTAATAGTTTTTATGCAAGCAAACTCTAAATCATTACTAAATGTTTTGATGATAAGTACTTAGTTCCAGCAGTGGCATGGAACACCTTTGATTGTTTCGGCTTGCCTCTGTACATCGCATTAGCGGAAACCTTTTTTTTAAAAAAAATGAGAATTTTACTTTGTAAACGAAATGCTAAATTGCATGATATGGTTATCCGGAAATAGAACAAAATGGCTTAAACATTCTAATGTCCAACTACTAAGTTTAATTACAATGACGTTGTATGCGTGTAAATGTCAAATGGATGTCCACAGGATTTGGTTTACGTTATTGATGACAATGTGTGATAACTGCTTTTGACCAGTACCAGAAAGCCTAGTAAACTTGGAGCCTTTCCAAACTAACACTACTCCAAACTTACCCACTGCATCAAACACATAAAAGATTCACCAAACAAGCTCCTTGAAGATAAATATATGAACACGTATTGCCTGTGAATCACATTTCTTACTACGAGAGGCACTGGACATACCATGCAGTCAAGATTTTAATTATTTTACACAACATCTCAGTTTTACCTCTTGATATAAACGTCGACGAAAACAGTCAATCTGTTTGCAGTTGTTGATCTACGAGTAGGTTTATGTGGAGATACCATTATCTTCAACAATATCAGTATGCGGTCATGATTTGGTGGACTGAAGTCATAGTGCAGGGGCTTATGTAGCAAATATGATTTCCGTGGGATAATTCCACGTGGGATTTCCACTGATAATTATAATCAATATTGCATATGGCTTCAGAAAAAAACATGGTTCCATTCTTTTTGATGATTATAAGTGTCTTTCTTGGGTAATTGAATATTGGTACCTATAATCGAGCTGCAACACCAAATGCAATGTGTGAAAAACATATTTTTATTAACTATCACAACATAGGCATGTAGTATATCAAAATGTACCTTGTGATGGGTGTTTTTACAACTACCAATACATATCATGAATCTCAAAAATATATGTATATAAATATATATATGTAATAATTACTATGATCATAACTGCCTCTGCCAAAACCGAAGGTTTGTTGCAGAGGGGATCAATCCAACTCCCTCTCTCTCTCTCTCTCTCTCTCTCTCTGTGCGTGCGTGCGTGCGTGCGTGTGTGTTTATGTTAGCAACTTTACTCAAAAGCTACTTGATGGATTTCAGTGAAACTTAATTGAGCTCTTAGGTATGCCCCCAGAGAAAAACAATTAGATGTTGAAGAAATTATACTCTTCAAAAACGAAACGCAAAAGCAACATGTCGTAAAATTTATTCAGTTATTATTTCAGTTTATATCAACGAAAATAAACGGTACAGCATTGAAATTATATAGAGCAATACATTGGTATCTCGTGTACATTTCACAAGAATGACAGTCATCATAGTCATTACTGCTGTCCACGAGGTGGCATTGACGTTACTACCTTGTATGACCACCTCTTACTGCAAGAACTGCATACCTCCTTGACACAGATCGAATCAGTTGTTGGTTGTTTTGTTTTGGAATCCTTCTCCATTCCTCCTGCAGCATGCTGAACAAATGTTAAAGGGTCAATGGCGGATTACGACGTTGATGTACACGTTTATCAATCTGATCCCACAGATAATCAATTGGTTTCCAATCAGGGAATCTGGAGGGCCAGGGATCGACATTGGTAATGTTATTGGCCAGGTAGTCCACTGTAGCACGTGCTGTGTGAGGTCTGGCACTGTCCTGATGGTACAGCTCCCACAAGGTGAGGCACGTGAGGACAGAGAATCTGGTTGAACACTAATTCCCTTCTGCAGGTGTATGGGATGACCCTCCACACCATGACACCATCTCCACTAAATCAGTCCACTTGCCTAATGCAGTAGGGTGCAAAACATTCATTGCTTGGTCTGTAGGCACGTTGTCTTGGGTCACGTGTCTTGAGGGGATACCGTGATTCATCACTGAACCATATGTGCCTCCAGTTTCCAAGGTTGTATGGTTGCATCGTGTGACTCGCGGACGTTGATGTAATCGTGTCAGAAAGGGGGCAACTTTTGGACGTCTGGCACGCATACAATATACCTGCTTCTCGGAGATGGTTCCTGATTGTCTGGTCAGACATTCTCCATTCTTCTGCTGTGTCCCGAGCGGAACGATGCTAGTCACATAGGTGGGTTACCCAGATGTAGCGATCTTGAGCTGGTATGGTGACTCGCGGTCTTCCTGGTCTTGGATGGTCATTTGTCAAACTGCACAAAACGATCCCCACAAAACGAGTTACTGTGCTCGGATGAATGCTGAAGGTCCTCGTCACGACATTCTTTCATTCGCCAGCTTGTAATCGTCCAATGGCAATATTTCGGTCGGCACTGTTGAGACATCCCATTTTCTCATCCAGTACTTTTGCAAGGGTCTTTGATGAATTTGCGAGATGCATTTTATATTCAAAAAGGTTGTAATCATGCTTTGCACGTGAAAAGCAATAATTGCGGCTTTGGTTGTATTCCATAACAGTCAAGCCCATCGTCACAATCATGATCGATAAAGCCATGGCAAAATCGTTTATGCTTGTATTAGCTCACGCATGTCCTTCTGAACCATACCAACAACAATATTCAACCCTGAAATCATGCTTCATTTGACATATGCGTGCAAACTTTCGATCATTTTGTTTTCAAATTATATTTTCGTTTGACTTTTTTTTTCTTCTTTTTTCAAGAGTGTATGTTTAAGTACAAGTGCACAGAGGTATTTTGAAAATAATTGCAATATTAAGTAAATGGGTAATATGAGTAATATCTAAAAAGTGATGGATGGATTTGGATGAGTGAGTGAGTTTAGTTTTACGCCGCACTAAGCAGTATCCCAGCTATATGGCGGCGGTCTGTAAATAATCGAGTCTGGACCAGACAATCCAGTGATCAACAGCATGAGCATCGATCTGCGCAATGGGGAACCGATGACATGTGTCAACCACGTCAGCGAAACTGACCACCCGATCCCGTTAATCGCCTTTTACGACAATCATAGTCGCCTTTTATGGCAAGCACATGGGTTGCTGAAGACCTATTCTACCCCGGATCTTCACGGGTCTGGATTTGGATGAATCTTGGTGGTATGACACAAGGGCTATCTGCATATGGTTTGGGGAAAGTACATTAAAGTACAAGTACGCAGTAGTACTTTAAAAATGTAACAGTGAATGAAGATTGCTGTGCAAGGTGGAGGTATGTTCTCTGACGAGGACCCTTCTAGTTTCCAAATTCAGAAAAAATATGTGTAGAATTCATGCTTGTGTTTGTATGTCAAATAATTTTGAAGCATGTATTTCAACAGGTTCTTGCAGGATAAGGACGGTTTGATTGACAATGCAAGTTACTTAACAATACTAAATCCTTGTGAAAGTTAAAATAAAGATACTAGTACAGATTATATATTGCACTTGCATATACTTCCTTTCAAAACTTTAGACTCACTTAAAACACTCCCTTTATGTTATGTGTGTGTGTGTGTGTGTGTGTGTGTGTGTGTGTGTGTGTGTTTGTATTATATATGGTTACATGGAAGATTAATTTCTCCACTAACTTGTGGGAACCAACTGCAAACCTGATGCAGATGAATTACACGAGGATCATGCATCAAATTGCTTAAAACCATCTGCAAATGTCATGCATGTGAACAGCTGCGTCTTGGTGTCAAGTTTTCTTTAGAATTCGCCAATTTTCACTGATTTGTATCATTTATTAAACTCATGACATTAATCTTTTCAACATTACGAATTTGTTTTTCGATACATCAGTTCATGTGTAAACAGTCCTTTTAAACAGTATATAGAATATTTGCAAAATTTAGTTTAGAACAGTTGCCTGAAGTACGTGGCTATATTTACACTAGTGAGTCTAAACTTTTGAAAGGAAGTATATGTAGTTATCTGTTCACTATGAGATAGTTTGTCACTCCTGTATTAATACATTCAGACTGCAGATTTGGCTTTCTGTCATTTGTCATTTAATTACCCGGACACAAGTGTCAGTGTGTCAGTTCTGACTGCACCGATATGCCTGATTTGACACTTGTGCTTGACTATATGATAATCACATTAACCTTACCTGGGTACTATTATCACTACTTAAGTGTGTCATGCTAGTATATATTATGAAATGGCAGAATGCATTAATTGAATAAATGGTTTCCACTGATATAGGTCAATAATTACAATGTTGATGTGCGATGAAGGAAAGATAATACTTGACTAATTTATATGATTATGCCATATCTTATGTCACCACATTGAAATTAGAAGCATATTATGCATCATAAGCTACATTTTGATGGTCTACATGACTATGTTGTGATAAGTTTATGAAAATATTTTGTCTCGAAATGGTGTCGCAAGCAATTTTGGGAACTTATATTCAATCACCCCACAATGACACTTATAGCAAATAGAAAAATGGAACCATGTTCTTTTCCAAATCCTTACACAATAGTGATTACAAATTAGTATTGGTTCCAACAATTAACAAGTAATTCCCAGAATTACACAAGCCCTTGCACTATCATGGCGATGCTACAGAAAGATCTCTAAAAGCTATAAGTGAATATGAATATGGTGATTAGAATTAAGTTGTCACATCTCAACTGCTGAATTTAGAACTACTCTTCCCGAATTACGATAATGCTCCCACCAACCTGGGAATTGAGGCTTGAACATAAACGAAATAGTTCATGGATGATCAGTAGTCTTATCAAGGATGGATACTATTTGTACTCTCAAAAATATTTCCGCAGAAAAAGCTAGCATGCCAGACCTTTTGTTTTATGTCAGT